TAATTACTATTACCCAAAACCAAAGTACCCAATTATTGGGCACTTGGACCCTTTGGGAAAAGGTTATTGCAAGTCGTGAATGTTGGATGGCTGAGCCATAAAATGCCAAAGCTTAGGGTGTAGGGTTTAGGGTTTAGGGTTTAGGGGGTGCTTTCAACTTGAGGCCCTGCATTTATACGGAAGTTCAATTCTCGCAACGGAATGAAGGTGCCAAAAGAGGAACCACGATCTTGGCAACCTGCTACCGTACTGAGTAACAAGCAAAACCCACTCCACTAGCAGGGAAATCCCGAGGCCTACATTCTCCCAAACCAGTATGGAACCTGAAAAGAGCCTAGAAACACAACTGTCCTTGCCAAAAAGGGCTACATGGGTGTCCATCTTTGTTCGCAAGGGTTTCCTCAAACTATAAACAAGCCCTTAAACGCTACAAAATCTGCAGGCCCTCAAGCAGTTCTAAAGCTGAGTACATCATGAACCTAAAGAAGCCCAGGTTTTTTGGAGGGACCGTCCCAGCTGGGCGCCTGAGGATCGATCTGATTTTAGTCGTTCCTGAAAACCGGCCTTAAGCCCTAAACCCGTAAACCCTAAACCCCAAGGAGTTCTTCAGGGTTTGAGTGCCTGTCTGGAAGCATGCAAAAGCCTCGACAAGTGGGCATCTCTCAAAAAACTGCTGATAGACTCCCTATGAAGGAGCCCCTAGAACCCTCTCTACATCAGTTGTTGCCCCGAATCTTGGGCGCATACGTATTCCAGCCCATGGAATTGTAGCCTAGGAGTGCTAACCCCTAAACCCTAAGCCTTAATCCTAAATCCCCAAACCTCGAGTATGAAAACCAACCCCTCAACCCTAACCCCCCAATAACCCTTATCTGAGCCATGGTCTAAACTCCTAATACCCCCCTCAACAACCCCGATATAACAGTCCTCTATATAATCCCGTATATCCCTGAACCCCAAAGCCTGAACCACCTTAAAAAGTGTAGACTATAGCTCATCTGAGAAGAGCACTTTTTTTCCAGTGGACTGGTCCAGGTGCACTCCTAGGTTCACAGGGGCGGTTAAGGGTTTAGGGTTTCCGGGTCAGGCCGGAAGATCTAAGGTCTGGGGTTTAGGGTTTAGTGTTTGGGGGTTCTGAAATCTGGGGGGGTGCTTATATGGGTGTGAACGGAGGTCCTCTGGGTCCCTCTCAAGGATTGTGTACATCCTTGCTTAGGGCCAGAAAGGGATATGCGAAACCTAACTCGGCCCTAAACCCTAAACCCCAAGCCCTAAACCCTAAACCCAACTAGGCCAATATGCTACACAAGCCTTTTTGGGGCTCGAGGCTTCAGGATCTGGTGTCGCCAACTCGAACCCAATCCCTTGCAGCCCCCTATCATCTGTCAGGTCTCTGAGGGCTCCCCAACTCGAGAATTACAAGGGCTAAAGCCTAAACTCCTAGTATCCCCCTCCATAACCCCTAGTATAGGGTTCAGGGTATATAGGGTTTAGGGTCTAAACTCCTAGTATCCCCCTCAATAGCCCCTACAATACTCCCCTATAATAATCCCCTACATAACCCCTTTAAGGAGTTTAGACAATAGCTCACATGGGCATTCTGGCTGTCTGCTCCAAGACTTCCAGAGCTCATGCTGAGAAGTTGTTAAATCACAGGTTCAAGGTTCAGGGTTCAGGGTTAGGGTCGAGGGTGGCAGGGGCAACAATTTCGTCACTGGTGGTGGTTCGTGGGGACCAAGGACTTCAGTCTGGGGATTCTGAATTCTGGATAGGCCCTGCGCAGTACAAACATGGAAGATCAGCGATATACAGGCTTGTATGGGGATATGTAGAGGTATATACGGATATATATATATATCTATATATTTATTTACATTTATATTTATAGGGATGTATAAAGGAATGGAGAAGCAAACGGAATATAAATATAATATATATATATATGTTATGTTATCTGGGGTTAACTGAATATCAGGAGGAGTGTCAGGAATTCCCTTCTCATGGTATCCTCACCTGAACACCCTAAACCATAAACCCCCAAGCCTACACCCTAAACCCCAAACCCTAAGTGCCAAACCCTGAACCCTAAACCCCAAACCCTAAATGCCAAACCCTAAACCCTGAACCCCAAACCCTAAACCCCAAACCCTAAACCCCAAACCTTTGACCCTAAACCGTTAACCCTGAATTCAAACTGCCTGAATCCCAAGATGCATTGGTCTCAAAGTCGCAATTAACTGCATCGATGCCCGTGTTTCCACCGGCTGCCAGCCTGGGGCGATGGGGTCTATAGGGGGTTTAGGGTTTAGGGTTTGGGGCATAGATAGGGGACATGGAGGGATATGTGCGGGATGTATAGCGGTATGTAAGGCATGCATCAGCATATAGAGGGCATATCCAGGGGGTATAAAGGGCCATATAGGGGTATGTCGGAGATGTATTATATATATATAGATCGATAGATAGATAGATAGATAGATAGATATATTGTTTGCGTTGGTGTTTGGGGACCGTCTCGAATCAGGAAATCCTGCGCCATGGGATTTAGCACCTATGCGCTATGCATTGCAGAACAATTTTCATTCTTCATAGATGTTGTACTACACGCGGGCATAGGGCATAATGTAGACAATCCCGAAACTTAAGCTGAGATCTTGAAACGTGGTGGTTGTCGTGGTAGTTGTAGTTGTCGTTGTCGTTGTTGTCGTTGTGGTGGTTGTCGTGGTCGTCCTGAGTGTCAATTCCGGGAAAACCGTCAGAGGAGGCAGACCTCCTTAGAAGGTACTTAGACAAGAACATAGAGGTAACTTAACTAGGAGGTCTGTCCCACCTGGGGTCCCGTGGACCTGATCCTGAAACCCATATAATAGGGCTTAGGGTTCAGGGTTTAGAGTTAGTCCTGACACGTACGGAGTCGATGGCAATGTCGCTTCGCCAGTCAGGGCCGACCACTGCCTTGGGAGTTTTTTTCACTGATAGGAAGAAATAGGGATGTATACATCTAAAATGGTACATATACATATATGCTCAACCCTCCTATGATCTACCTTTGGTGGGTCTGGGAGAGGGGAGGGAGAGCATCAAACAGGAAAGTTCCGTGGCTTTGCTGTGGAGGCCCTGAACGGTGACCATAAAAATCACCCTTTTACTATAGATTCTATCACTGAGGGCCTCAGTTCCATGTGAGCTACAGTCT